TTAAAAACAATCTTCAAGATATTTCTTCCTACCTACAAGTACGAGGACATGCACTATACAAGCTGCCACCACAGAGGGTCCACGGTCATAGAGCCGAGATCTAGATTTCAGCACCACAGTTATTAAATGGAAAGCTTATGTGAGTAGCTAAACATGAATAATATTAAAAGGTACTACTGTATTTACAGATTATATTTTTAGCACATTGCAAACACACTGATAATAATTTAGGATTCTGTTATTATTTCCTTTTATTTTTTTAGTGATAAGAGCCATTTTATCTTCCTCACACCCAATGAAAGGAAATAAAATATAATCCAAAGAAAAATATGTCCTTACTATTCACAATAAAAACAGTCTGCTTCATTCCACGGGCCTGGGCATATTGTACAATAGGAAGCACTTAACGGCTCAAGTGAATGAATGTACCATTTTGATTCTGATCCACTGAATAGAATCTCATCCATATTCAGTGACTGGACTAACTCCATATGAGCTGTGATAGACTGAACCATTTTTTGCAGTATCCCAAGATCTCACTAAATAAGAAAAGATCCTACACAAGGAATTATAACAATTGATCTGCCTATAAATTATATCTACAGGCTCTTTCTTTAGCATAAGGTGGAAAAGGGGACCCTTTCCTGAGTACATGGATACAAGTATTACTGTTGCCTAAAGATCGCTGGATTGATACTGTATTGTTATAATAAAGATAAGGAACACATTGAAATCAATGTCAGATTAAGAAAATTCCACAAGTTGTCTCAATTCTTCAAATAGAGGAGCAAGTTCCTCTTCTAGGCTGACGATTAGTCCTGTATTGGTACTGCTGCTTGCTATGACACTCACCACCAAAGGCAAATGGTGAAATGGAACCACCTGGTAGGTGTTACAGTAACAGATGATACTTTTATTTTTTGAAAGTCCAAGTTTGCTCCCTTGGTCTGTTGCAAGGGCAAAAGTACATAAGAAACCAGGTCTCAAAGCATGCTCTGGAACATTATCATCGGCCACTTTAATAACAGATACTCCATCTCTATCTGACACAACAATAGCATGGAGTCCTTCCACACATGGTTGCTTTTTATACAGGAATCACTTTAGATCATCAGCCATAACGAACCCTTTCTCTGGCAGGGTCAATCTCCACACCTGGGTTTCTGGGCTGCCAGGTTCCCTGTTACACTTTTAAAGGTTACAAAGCACTTTCCCATACTCCATGGTGTCAATGAAAATGTCAAAACCTGTGTACTCATCAGCGATTTTCAGACAGAGGAAGGCTTCTTCCTGGGCTTCTTTATCTCTGAAAGATCATCCATAGACCCCGTCATCAGAGGCCCTGATGTACCCTCACAGCAATGCACCCCGCAGGTGATGTTTTCCTCCACCAGTGTCACCCTGCCTCGGTACTTGGGCATCTGTTCTCCCTGCTGCTCTTGCCCGTCCCAGCGCACCAATAAGACGGGCGAGAACTTCTTCCACAACCATCACAGCTCCGTGTGCTCACTACTCACATTTGGGGACAGGTGACAGGGCAGCTCCGTCTCTTCACCCACCATGAAGAGGATGGACAAAGCTGAGTATGTAATTTTTGTCTCTGACCCTGACCTCTCAGCTGGACTGTACCATTGATGATCTAACTGCCCACTCTGCATCTCTATGTGGAACTCTAACAGACTCCTCAACCATAAACGTGTCCATGACTGAACTTTGGATTCAGCTCTACCTCCTCTCTTGTGCCTCGTCTCTAAGTTTTCCCATCTCAGATATTGGTAACTTCATCTTCCCAGGTTTTTAGAACTAGTAGCTTGCAGTCACCCTTGAAACACTCCTTCATTTGCACCACATATCTAACTCTGTCAGCAAAGCCTTTTTACTTTATTTTTAAAATAAAGCCAGCATTGGACCAGTTCTCACCTCCTCAGGGCTTCCCCCGGTACAAGTCATCCTCATCTGTCACCTGGATCACTGCACTAGCTCACAGCCGATCTTCAGCTTTCTATCCTCCACCGACGGCTTCCACCTCACTCTGTCCAGCATCTGATATAACTTCTTAAAACACAGGTCAGATCCAGTCCCTCCTCTGCTCACAACCTTCAGTGGCTCCCCTTTTAGTAGCAAAGCCAAGGTCAGCATAATTTTTAAGGCCATACATGATCTGGCCCTCAAACCCCTCTGACTTTGCCCCCTCCCACTCTACTAGTCACTCCCTGTGCTCCAGTCACACCAGCCTCACTGCCAGTCTTGACACATGCCACCCATGCTCATGCCTCTGGCTTTGGCACTGCTGTTCTCTCTAATGGAATGCTTTCCCCCCAGTGCTCCTGGGCCTGCTCCTCCTGTTCATCACTGTCCTATTTTAAACGTCAACTACAGATTTTCCTGTTTTATTTATTAATTTTCAAAACACTTATCACCATTTAACAAACGACATATTTACTTCCTGTTTTTTGTCTTGTCTCTTACCACCCAAAGTTAGGTTCTTTGGGAAGGGGTCTTTCTGTTATGTTCACTTCTGTGCCCCCAGTACCTAGAACACTGATTGGCACATATTTAGTGCTCATGAAACCTTGTTGAATGAATGAAAGAATGGACTGAACAGAGAAGCCCTGGGGGAAGCTGGGGGGTTGGTGGCCCAGGGTGCAGGTGAAGGATTAGCCTCAGACAGGAGAAATGAAGGACAGCTGCTCCGTTCAAGTCAGAGGAAACAGGTCAGGAGGGGAGGGCCAGATGAGGGTAGGGGCAGGATGTTTGAAATCTCCCCCTTCTTTTTTTCCTCTGAGGTGGGTGGAACTCTCATGAATGGGATTATTGCCCTTATAAAAGACACCTCAGAGAGCTACACCCCCCCTTCGCCATGTGAGGATATAGCAAGAAGACTATGAACAAGGGACAGGGCTGTCAGCAGACTCCGATTTACTGGTGACTGGATCCTGGATTTCTCAGCCTCCAGAACTGTGAAAAATAAATTTCTGTTGTTTACAAACCATACAGTCTTGGTATTTTCATTATAGCTGACTGAACAAACAAAACATACACATAAAGATAAATAACCCAGTTTTCCATCTTAACAATCCAGGTATTTCAATATGTTACTAATTCTTTCCATTATAAATCCATTTGTAAGTGCAGTAATACAATTTTGTACTGTTTAAAAACTTTTTCTTTTGCCCAGTTTTACAATTGGATTATTGAATTATCTAATATCCAAAATACTACCATTTAAGCCAGCATTTTCAAAGCCTGATTGTGTTAGTCAGGGTTCTCCATACAGACAGAACGAACAGGATAGATAGATATAAATATAGGTATAGATGATATATAGATTCAGGTACAGGCATAGTTATAGATACAGGTATATGAGAATAGATATGTTAGTGGAATTGGCACACACAGTTACGGAAGTTGTGAAGTCCCACAAAAGGCATTCTGCCAGTACCATGGCTCAGTGCAAGTCCGAAAGCCTCATAAGCACAGAACTTGAAGAAATAACTGTCAGTCAGAGGCCGAAGGCCTGAGAAACTGAGGGGTGAGAGGTGTTGCTTGTACAAGTACTGGAGTCCAAAGGTTAGAGAACCTGGAGTTCTGATGTCCGAGAGCAGGAGAAACAGGGTGTTTCAGCTCCAGGAGAGAGGGGGAGAATTTGCCTTTCCTCTGCCTTTTTGTTCTATTCAGGCCCCAAGTGACTGGATGGTGCTCAAAATAGAGGGTGAATCTTCACCATTTGGTTCATTGACTTACAGGCCCAAATCCTTCAGAAACATCCTCACAGACACACCCAGACATAATGCTTTACCAGTTTTCTAGGTATCACTTAATACAGTCAAGGTGACATATAAAGTTAAACATCACACATCACACTAATTCAATACCAGGATCTTCTGTCTTATTTCTCAGATATGGTCTGGGGAGTCCTAGGGGATCTCTGATATACTTTCAAGGGGTCCACAAGGTTAATGCTATTTCCATAATTATAATAAAAACATTATTTGTTGTTTCAATCTCATTCTCTCACTAATGTACAGGAAAGTGTTCTTGAGTCTCAATGACCTGCAATATCCCCACAGATTGAATACAAAGGCCATGAGGATCCAGCCATCTTCTGTTAACACAGATATTCGATTTGGGAAGTTAAACATGCCACACTTCTCAATAGAATTTATTTTGCCTTGCCAACAATAGTTGTTTTTCATAAGAATGCTATTTAAACTATAGTTTATTAATGTTGTTTTAATATAAATTAAAATATTTATTTTTAAAATCTCTCAGTTTCAATCTCTAATGTCATAAATATTAAAGATAGAACCCAAATTTAAAAAAAGCTATTAGGGTCCTCAGTAATTTTTAACGTCTACAGGCATATTGAGACCAGGAATCGTGACACCACTGCTGTGCCAACTGAACCTGAACCCTGTGCTAGACGTGGCCCAGGACTCACCTGCTCCACCAGGACCTTAACCCTTAAGCCATACTCAGTGACTGAGTACCGATGCCTTCCTTATTTCAGGACATCAGAGGCAGGCCAGATCTCGAGAAGTCCTTCTCCTTCATCCTCCTTCATCCCACTTCTAGGCCTGGGGGGCCTTACCTTGTGATCTGGAAATTTTGGGGGTTGGGTGGAAATGGGCCATCAGCTCCTGGGCCATGTAGCTGTCATGGGGAGGCTTAAACATGCTCACAGCCTTGGCTCCCTCTCAGCTCTCTTAGGAAAGGTCCCTTTTCTCCAACTGTGACTTCATGTGTGGTTTCCTCCTTCCCTCAGGAAGCTCTGTGGTCCCCTCCCTCTTCCCACATTACAAGGGTCCTGTTGCCCTCGCCCCAAGTCCACTGTGTCTGATGCAACTATGGCTTCAGGCTGAATGTGTCACTTTAATGTGAAAGCAGCAGGTTTTCAGCCTGTCACCTTCACACACTTTCTTCCTGCATGGGAGCCCTGTGGCAGCAACAGTGTCCCTCAGACTGGACCCTGCCCCAAGGCCTAGTGAGGGGAGAGCTGGGGCTGCTCCTGCAGTGGGTGAGAAGGAGGCAGCTGAAGATGTTCCCTTGTGTGACAGAGGGAAGAAGGGCCCGTTTTCCAGCAGGGGATGCTGTGCAGATGAAGCTGAGGTGGCCATGGCTTCTCTATGTTTCTCTGACTCCAGGGCATTGGTCCTGTGGGTGGTTGTGGGTCTTTGCCCTGTGAAGGATGAGGCCGTCCTCATGCACCGTGATCTCGTTGGCCCCTGTGAATGCTGGGCAGATGAAGAGGGGGCTGTCATCAGACCCCAGCCTGAAGAAGGGCCTCAGGGGCCCAGAAAACGCTGAACGGGGACACGTGTAGATGTGTGATCTGTCCCTCATGTTGTAGAAGGAGACATCTCCAGCTTCGTAGTCCAGGAAGACGCCCACCCGGCCAAGGCGCTCTTTCAGAGGGAGAATCCTGTCAGGGGATGACAGGGCCCGGTATTGGTTTCCAAACATCTCCAGGGTCCAGAAGCCATTCTGAGGGACCAGCAGGGCCTCTCCTTTTCTCTCAACACCATCTCTACAAACCCCCACGGTCCACATCATCACATTTTCAACCTCCACCTCCCAGTAATGTTTCCCTGAAGTGAAGGTCTCCCGACCCAGGACACAAGGGCGACAGTCGAATCTCTCCGGGTTGTCAGGCACCCTCTGCCGGGAAGGGCCCCGCCTCACACTTCTCCGGTCCTCTGACAGGTAGAGCTCAGGATGAGCGGTGTCTGGATCCAGCCTCACATCAGCTGCAGAGGAAGTCTCAGGTTTAGACCTGGGGTCTCAGGACCCCTGGAGATTGTGTGATCCCTGGTCCTAGAGAGGTCCCAGAAAGCTGGGGTGGGATCTCCATGTGGTGGCCTTTTCCATGAAGACAACTTTATCCCAGGCAACTCACAGTCTAGGAATTACTGAGGCTGCACCTCAATCTCTCTAGAGACAGGAGCAGTGCCCTCAGGCAGAAGAGAATTGGGGTGCCAAGAAATCAAGAAAATTAGCAAATGAGCCCAAATTAATGATTCCCAATTTCTCTCAGCATTCTCAGATTTTGCCCTCTTTCCTATTTAGGACCTATGATCTCTAAGCCTCTGGAAACACTCCGACTTGGCTAAAACCAATGAAGATGGTTCATCCCCTGTTTCACCCCAACTCCCCTGCCCTGGTCTCATAAGTTAATTAAGGTGAGTCTCTCACTACAGTGTCCTGGGTGGTATGGAGTTTCTTCATTTGTTCCTTGTATTCCTTTCACCAAGTGACAACTGACTTAAATGACTGAGAAGGGCACCCTTCAAGGGGTTATAAAGGATAATAAATATCCCCCAAACCCACCCTGTTTCCTGAGAGGTATGTGGGGCAAACATAAGAGGAAATATTTGCATCCAGTTTTGCTTTAACAACATGGGTCTGAAATCTATAGCTATGACCTTTCTGGGTGTAGGAAATGCTTCAGACCCTGGACATTCTGCAGACCTTTCTAATCTACATATATTATTAGTCATTCAATCTATCTTTCTGTTTTGTTAATAAGGTTTCCTCCTTTCCCCAAGTTGGTATATCTGATTATAACAACTAGTGATTGTGCCCCAAATTAATTGTAGCAATTTTGAAATTCACCTAAAGAGGGAAGATCCGTGTGTCATGGGAGCAGGTAAACCCTGGATTCTTTGGTACTTATGTGCGGAAGGTGACAAATCATGAAATGCAGAGGGCTCATTAGGAGTGGTCAGTTGGATTCTGAGCTCTCCACTCACCTGACCCTCTGCCTGGCGGGCTACATGTAGAGCACAAGTGCATTTTGGGAGCAGGAAGGCGTTTCTGGCTATTTATAAAGCTTTGAGTCAGGTTTACTGGGGAACCT